CCCCCCTTCTTGCCCCTTGGTCCTCCAGGCAACGCCCTTTTAAGAGAACATTTTCAAATCTTCATGTGGGCGGAGTCAGGCTGGGCACAGGTGTTTAGTCGCTCGTTAAATACACAATAGTTACGCCAAACAAACTTCCAGCTCATATACAAAGTGAAGGCTGCATTAGTGTCACTTTTCAGCACGACGGATGAAAAGAAGTCATGAAAAGGTCTTATATTCGACTACAAACTTCACCGTGGAGCTCAGGGGTGTCCAAACTTTTTAGTAAGAGGGCCACTGTAGTTCATCAGACTTGACCTGGGGCTGGATTTGAGCTGGATTCACTGGATTCTGGATTTTAAAATTACTTGTGATACGTCCTTATTGATCCACAACTGCGTTTTACGTGGAATGTTGTGACACAATCATAAAACAAATGTCAGTAAATAACAATGGAGTCAACAGCTGGATTCCAGACGGTCTGAGGTATAGCATGACTGTGTTTGTGGAGCTGAAGTTGGTTGGATGACACTGTTAGCAGCAGAGGGCCACATCAAATGGCACAGAGGGCCGCGATTGGCCCGCGGGCCTGAGTTTGGACATGTCTGATGTAGCTTGAGGAATTTGATGATCCAAACGGGTCAGATCCAAAGTGTTTTACGTGGTTCTTGGTCCAAAATCCACCTGAGAATCTCACGTTTTCTTTCACAAACTGTTAAGAACTCCATAGAGTCAGAGTTGATATTTTCCACTGATATATTTATCTTTTCAAACCAAACCAATTTATTTCTATCTTTGTGAAAAAGGTGTTGGTTATAGATTTGTTGTTGACAAAACTCTTGTCTATTCAGCTGTTATGGTCCCAGCTGGATTCCTCTGCATATCTGGCAACCTGAGTCAGAGTGAGTCAGAGAGTGGGAGAGGCTGCAGTACCACTTTTGGCCACATGTTTACAAACTGCTCCTTTAAATCTTCTTATAACCCCACCTTACATCCCCATCTCTCATTTTGGAAATGCTGCCATCGAATGGAAGAGCGAGGGTGGAAATATGAATAACATTTATGTGTTTGAAAGATTAAAAAATACAATTTGCATGTTGAGTTCTAGATCTGGAAGACACTCCACAATATCTGCATGAGGCACAACTACTACAATAACATATGCACTGGATCTAAGAAGCATTAAAACAAACACAACACACTCCCGGTCACAACAACAACAACAACTGCTGCCTTGGATCTGGCGGCTGTCGACCAATCAGACGCTGCACACCTGGCGCCCGGCCGTTACTACTGCGCCACTTTGCTGTTACGGTCTCCGAGGGATTTCAAACTGACTTTTAAAGCAGGCGATGAATTTTTTAACCTTATTCTTGTGAGTCTTTGAAGTGGCTCTGAACGAGAGGCTGCCAGGCTCTGCGGCTCCACGAGACTGACCTGGGCTAAGAATAGAGCGTGCAGAGCTTTAGGACGCTGTGGGGACTCGAACACCAGATAAAAGGCTGAGCCCAGAGTGTCTTTCTCTTTTGTGACACGACCGTTCAACTAAATGATTGGGAGAAGAATTTATTGTTTGGGTCTCACTCTTCTCTCCTACAGTCACTGCTCCTTGATCCATTGTTTTAATGTGTCTTCAGTGTCTCCACGGTTGTTAGGATCATAGAAATGAAACCATGACATTTTTGTGCTTTACTTATAATGAGAATGGGTTTTATTTGAACCCTTTGACCCTCTAGGCGCCACGGTTGACTTAATTCGTCAATATGCGGTACTGTTTAAATTGACCGATTATGTCAGAATTCATTCAAACCCCCGCCACACAATGATTTAGACTCTTTTACTATATTTCCCTGACCCTTGAGTGTGGTACAGTGTGAGTTATGTTTGTGTGTACATGTCCAAGTGATCCCAGTAAAAAAAATAAAATAAAAGACATTAATGAAAATCCTCGATTGCCACGCCCATAATATGCAAATTAGATGGGTACATACAGTTCCTACATAACCTTTTGGACAATCTTATTATTTCTCTAATTTTCATGAAGACTCTTCCTCTTCTCACTTTTAAGTTACTAAGAAATTAAGATGTCAAAATTCAGCCTCATAGGAAAAAACCTCTGGCGCTTAAAGGGTTAACATTCACTTGACGTTTTTTACTTTTTGGGATTTTATAAAGAAGCAGGACACTAATAACACAATTTATTGGGTTTTATGTTTTTTTAAACCCTATTGTTTCCTTTTTAATTCTTTACCAAATGGTTGAGATGCAGTTTGATGAGAAACTGTCACGTGGTGGGAAGGAGGAAGACTCAAAATGCGAGAATGCAAAAGGTGGTTTAATAAGATAAGATATACTTTATTAATCTCACACAGGAGAAATGTACAATGATGATGAAAATTGATAAAAAGTCCAAACAAAACTCTGGAACCAGGAAATCAGACTGACAAGGACAGAGACAATACAATGGACCAGCAACGGGAGGAGAGGAGCACATGGTACAAATAGACACAGACACAGGTGAAAGTCAGGGCGGGGCAACAATCCACACTGGGGAACAAGACAGGAAGTCAAACTAAAACCAAAGCACAGAGAACTGACTACAAAATAAAACCAAAGTAGAACATAACTAATAATCCACACACAAAAAGTTCCTCAAACCAAGTGAGATGTCTCAAAGAGGTCTGTGTCAGTTCCAAGCTTCAAGTCCATACTGAGTCTGAAATAAAGATACATGAAAAGTGACTCAAAACGTGACCTACCATGGGTGATGGGAGTGAGGCGGTTAGAGGCGGTTGGAGGCGGTTGGAGGCGGTTGGAGGTGGTTGGAGATGGTTGGAGGCGGTTGGAAGCGGTTGAAGGTGGTTGGAGGTGGTTGGAGGCGGTTGGAGGCGGTTGGAGGTGGTTGGAGGTGGTTGGAGGCGGTTGGAGATGGTTGGAGGCGGTTGGAGGTGGTTTGGTTGGAGGCGGTTGGAGGCAGTTGGAGGCGGTTGGAGATGGTTGGAGGCGGTTGGAGGCGGTTGGAGGTGGTTGGAGGCGGTTGGAGGCGGTTGAAGATGGTTGGAGGCAGTTGGAGGTGGTTGGAGGTGGTTGGAGGCGGTTGGAGGCGGTTGGAGGTGGTTGGAGATGGTTGGAGGTGGTTGGAGGCGGTTATAGGTGGTTGGAGGTGGTTGGAGATGGTTGGAGGCGGTTGGAGATGGTTGGAGGCGGTTGGAGGCGGTTGGAGGCGGTTAGAGGTGGTTGGAGGTGGTTGGAGGCGGTTGGAGGCGGTTATAGGTGGTTGGAGATGGTTGGAGGCGGTTGGAGGTGGTTGGAGATGGTTGGAGGTGGTTGGAGGTGGTTGGAGATTGTTGGAGGCGGTTGGAGGCGGTTGGAGGTGGTTGGAGGCGGTTGGAGGCGGTTGGAGGCGGTTGGAGGCGGTTGGAGGTGGTTGGAGATTGTTGGAGGCGGTTGGAGGCGGTTGGAGATGGTTGGAGGCGGTTGGAGGCGGTTGGAGGCGGCAGAAGGCGGCAGGTGAGTTGTTGTTGTTGTAAAAACTCAGTGAGAAAGGAGGCGGGGCCAGGATAATAAACTACTACTGTAGCCACAGCTGCCCTGGGGCACACTGACAGAAGCGAGTCAACCAGTCAACCCCACTTTGCCTGAAGCCCCCACTGAAAGATCAAGGCTCCTGTGGACTCAGCACCTGCAGGAGGATGAAAATGGATGGATGGAAGTAGTCAGTGGATGAGTTGGTGGAGCATTGGCCTTTGAGCCTGAAGGTTGTAGGTTCGAGCCCACCACAAGACCTTCTCTACCGACTCCCATTGATATCTGCTGTCATTGTATCGTTGGGAAAGACACTTAACCCCACTTAGCCTGAAGCCCCCGCTGAAAGATCAAGGTTGTGTAGTCACCGACAGAGCAGCCATCTTCCTGTAGACTCACCACCTGCAGAGGGATCATTGAGAGGCTGGTGCTTTGTGAATTGCACCGACCCAGAAATGGATTAAGGGGTAGAAAAGGGATGAATGGATGGATGAAGTTCTTTGGTTGAAGAATTTTGTTTTGCTGCTTTAGGTGAAATAATCTTTTGTAAACGCTTGGTGCTCAGTGAAACAGCAGGTGTCCACAGCGTGTCATAAACATCCTCACTCTGCAACGGAAAATTACCCAAATCCAAGATGTATGAAAACAGTCCTATTGCTGCTTTAATCCTCCAACTACAACATGCTCAGTAAATTGTAGTTGTAGTTATGAAACCATACATTACAGATAAAATTAAAAACAAAATTCTATAATGTTGATAATTGGCTCAGAGCTTGTAAAAACCAGTGTGGGCGGGTTTTGGCTCCAAAAGATCCATGAGCACATGCGCTGACAGGCTGCAATCTCACTCCTTGACAGTGGGGGTGTACCCGGAAAGAGAATTACCCAATGCTTTTGTATGGCGTCTTATTTTCTCTCTTTACAGGATGGTCCAAAAGTGGCTCTTGGTCCAAAGCTACGTCCCAGATGCTGTCGATGCTGAGGGGAGTATTGTTCTTGGACCGGTCTAGTTTAGCCGCTGTGGACTTTTGACTTTAACGCATGCGCTATTGTGTTTTTTCACATTTTCCTGCCCCACGGCCATTTTGAAAAAGCCCCATAGAAGGCAAAAGTGGTGGTAGTTTGAACGACAGAAATACGTCTGTTAATATTCACAGTCAATGGTAAAAACCAAAGTATATTATTATACATTTAACATTATATTCTGAAATAGCACTGTAAACATAATTGCAAAGGGTCAGCATATGTCACTTTGCGAGTAATCGGTCTATAACATATATTGATTTCACATTATAAGTTTAATCACAGAAACAAGTTTAATCTGTACAAGATATAACCAAACTCTTCAAAGTTTGTATGACAAAACTCTGAAAAAGATTAATTAGAAAATGTGATTAATCTTATGAGTAGATAAGATCAGACGGACTTTATTGATGTCACACTGGAGAATTTTACAAGATATGACATTTATTTATATGTTGGCTGCAGAGTGAATGAAAGAACTGAAAGAGAAAGGTTTGACTTCAGCTCAGTTCCTACAAATATGTGACACAGCAGTAGTTTGATCAAACCACTCACTCTTCTGGCCTGTCTGTGTCGTTTGCCGTCGCAGCCAACTCACACAAAAGATTTCAAACGAATCCATGCACACATAAGAACACGCTCTCTGCACATTTTTATCATTTTATGCAAATTCCCAGCGACTGTTGGATATAAGCAGGCCAGCCATTCACAGCAGCTTAGCCAAAACACTGAGGGAGTAGCTTATTGACAAGCTAGAATCGTCAGGTATAAGAATTATGTGCGGACCTATAAAGCCGGACCACCTTAAGCGCCTTAAGCATCAGCCCTATAGCTATCAGTGCATTTACATGTGAAAGAGAATGGATGCCTCAATCCCAGTCCGAGCCCGCACTGGTCCCGTAGCAGGCAGTTTATAACCACAGGATCTGTCTTTGTCATTATCAGTTCTGTTCATGTTGTAGAGCAGGTGCCGACTCGGGGTGTATTAGATTAAGACTATATCCACACAAAGACAAAACGCTTATAATTTCAGAAACTTTTTCTGTAAACACGGAGTTAGCTCAGTAAATGTGTGCGTCCATATGAATGTAGTCAATACGCCTGAAAACGCTGTGAAACTATGCCAGACCTGTTGGTGGCGCTGTGACGCAATGACGGGATCAAGCCCAAACTTCCGTGACGGGAACTGGGCATGTGCAGAATTTAGTAAACAGACAACATGGCGAGTGGGCGAGCTGGTACTACATTAGTATGGACGGACGATGAGGTTGAACTGTTGCTTCGGGTCACACTGGATTACAAAACCAACAAGCTACATTGTTGTTGTCATTATTTTCTGAGTGCGGCGCATGCTGCTTTAACAAGAGGCGGGGCGATGACGCAAGCGTCTCAGATACATTGCGGAGAGGCAGTAACCACGGAGCGGCATATACGGAGTTTTGAAATCTTTCCACTCTGGGACCTAGTTTCAAAAATGTTCGTTTACACCCCCCCAAAACGCCGGCCTCGTATGGACGATACACTGGATTGATAAAGTATTTTTGCGTTTAGGCCTGAGCTTGACTTCGTGTGGACAGGGCCTTATTCACTATGATTTATAGACATTTTTTCAGATGATTATTATTCTATTCTAGCAGCAGAACGCTCCATTGATTTGAATGTTATTTCAAAACGTTCTACAGGTCAGTATTTCTTAATAACCGACTTGAAACCAATAAATACTGCTGCCCTTTGGCAACGTAATTTGAGCTTGTAATTCATGTGTGTCAGATCACTCCGCATGTAGTTCCGGCCACTTTGAGCTTTCAGAAAATGAGGGAATAGCTCCTGAGATTAACGGGAGTCCGACTTTCAATTTACCCAGAGATACAGACAACATGATAAAAATAAATGATTAAACTGAGAGAATGCCACTGAAATAATGAATCATTTTGTTTGGCGCTGTAGCCTGGTCTTAACATACCATTGTACTCATTTCATTTCGTACAAAGATCCATTGACTCCGTTAACAGGTGGGAGGGGCAAACTCCTTTTACAGATTAAAACCATTGGATCTGAGTTTACCGTGACGTTGGTAATGAGCCCGAGTGAGTGAGGCATTTAGCATTTAGCCTAGCTTTAGCATTTAGCATTTTTGTTAAGGTTGAGTTTTGCTCCCATAGACAAGATGGGGCGGGGTGGGCTGGCTGCCGTCGTACCTGTCCCAGCAGTTTTTGATCCACTGGAGGTATATAAGAATTTTACTTCATGTAATCTGTATATGACAAACACACAAAAAACTAAACTAAACTAAACTAAACCCCACAGTAGAGGAAGGTCCAAGCAGTTTCTTTAATCAAACAAAATTACTCTCAAAAGGATGGCTCAGTGGAGACAGGGAGCGGGCCGACCTGAGAGCAGAGTGAAGATCAGAGAGACCAGGACTGGACTAAGCACAGGATCTGGAGATAAGAGCAGGTAAGTTGTGTAATCCAAAAACGGGTAAGAATCGAAGAACCTGGCAAATGCCCCCAGTCTTGCAGTTTTGCTTCATCCAGTCCCTTTTCCAACCAAATCAAGGGACATTTGGAAACGGGAAAAATGTGTGATTATTTGCTATTAAATGTATGTAAGCGCAATACATGTGTTAGCGTTGTCAGGATCTGCTCCCTGTTGTCTCTGCCCCTCCCCTTCTTTGTGTGTCTTGTCTCCACAGACCTGGGCGTGGCTACACACCTGGTTCCATCTGCTGCTCTCTACCAGCTGCATAAAGCCTCATGCAGCAAGACGATGTCATCTAAATAATACAACACTAATGGAAAGACTATGGTATGATAAAAGTGCATCTCTGGTTCATGCAGTGCAAATACAGAAGGTGGCGGTAAATGCACCTTGATAGTTGGACGCCAATCGCCATAAAACTCAAAAGAAGAAGAAGAAGAAGATGCCAGGTGGTTGTTGCTTCTAGTTAGTGCAACGTTTATGGTCTATTCTCTAATTTTTGCTGTTGTTATTTTTTAACTTTTCTATATAATATACCTTGCTTCCTGTGTTCAGATTCTTTCTGCCTGCTCCGCCTGCCTTGATCCCCCATTCTCCATCCATCTGCTTCCCCAACCTGCCTCTGCCCCAGTCCACCTGTCTCTGCCCGCCTCCCTCCACCCGCCTGCCTCTGCCCGCCTGTCTCTGCCCGCCTCCCTCCACCCTCCGCCCGCCTCCCTCCACCCGCCTGCCTCTACCCGCCTGTCTCTGCCCACCTCCCTCTACTCGCCTCCCTCCACCCTCCGCCCGCCTCCCTCCACCCGCCTGCCTCCGCCCGCCCCCCTCCGCCCGCCCCCCTCCGCCCGCCCCCCTCCGCCCGCCTCCCTCTGCTTCTTGATCACGAGTAATTAGTCAAATCGTTAATGAATGATGAAACGATGATTGGGAAGTTGCAGTTGTGTAGATAAAAGTATCCCTCAGTAAAACTAATCACAGAACAGACCATTGATCATTTCTATACAAAATGTGAATTGTTTGTGTATTTTTTCTCTCATAATTCAGACTTAATGCATGTTGGAGGATTACTGTATGTGTTGCGTAAAGACAGAGGAGGGGTCTGTGATACGGCAAGTCCCCTTTCTCTAAACAAGCCTGAATTATCGAAGCAGGTCACACATTAGAATCCATCCACACTCAAAAACGCACATTATTTAAATCATTTCCAGAAGCTCTCGGCAGAAATCACACAGACACTGAGCTAATTGCCATCAAGAAATGTTTCTATGAAGAGCCAAGTTCAGCGACGAGCAGACAGCCAGACACAAGTCTAAAGCCGCTGTAGTTTTAAAAGACAAATGATGGGCACTTCAAATGAAAATCTGCCTTGATTTGTGGCGGAGTCTCTCTAATAAGGAGTGAATGAATATTTTAGTTCCTTATGCGTCCGAACCTTTTCTACGCAAACATCAATACTGGTTTTCTGTCATATTGAAGGACAATTTAAAGCATTTCAACTACTCAATAATAAGCACTGAAATCATAGCAGTTATAATAATATCAATCTAAGGCATTGCCATTGTGCTTGGACAGAGTTACACCGTATGATCCAGGCGTCAAGACTCCAGATGAAATGGTCTGTCCTCTACTTGATGAAAATATATACATTAATTCACCTTTTCTATCAGCTCCTGTGATGCAATTACATTTTTAATAGACCGGGCTAAAAAATTAAATCTCAGTGCGGTTCTGCCCCAAACCAAACTTGATGAATCCATTTTTAATCAGTCGTTGGCGACAGAGAGGCCTTGATGTTTCATTTAAACGAGGCTGACGGCAGAGAGAGGCACAGACTGGCACAGACTGGAACAGAGAGGCACAGACAGGCACAGACTGGAACAGACTGGAACAGAGAGGCACAGACAGGCACAGACTGGAACAGATAGGCACAGAGAGGCACAGACTGGAACAGACAGGCACAGACAGGCACAGACAGGCACAGACTGGAACAGACAGGCACAGACAAGCACAGACTGAAACAGACTGGCACAGACTGGAACAGACTGGAACAGACAAGCACAGACTGAAACAGACTGGCACAGACTGGAACAGACAGGCTCAGACTGAAACAGACTGGCACAGACTGGAACAGACAGGCACAGACTGGAACAGACAGGCACAGACTGGAACAGACAGGCACAGACAGGCACAGACTGGAACAGACAGGCACAGACTGGAACAGATAGGCACAGACTGGAACAGACAGGCAGAGAGAGGCACAGACAGGCACAGACTGGAACAGACAGGCACAGACTGGAACAGACAGGCACAGAGAGGCACAGACTGGGACAGACTGGCACGCCCTGGTTGCTGCATTGAACACTCTATTGAACACTTTACAGTAAAAAAAACAAAACAATATATCCATCGATTTTCTTCCACTTTATCCGTTACCCACTGGCGGGGGCAGCAGTCTGAGCAGAGACACACACACTTCCTCCTCCAGCTCATCTGGGGGAATCCTGAGGCGTTCTCAGACCAGAGAGAGACACAGTCACTCCAACGTGTCCTATGTTTGTGACATGTCCCCAGGAGTCATCTCTGAGGAGCAGTAGAGGCAGCAGCTCTACTCCGAGCTCCTCCGGTGTGACCAAGAACACACTGGCCTATCTCTGAGGGAGAGCCCATTCTCTGAGGAAGGAATAGGTGGGAACATTGACTGACCGTTAAATGGAGAACTTTGCCTTTCAACTCTGCTCCCTCTTCACCACAACAGCCTGATACAGCTCTGACTGCAGACGCTGCTGCCTCTTCACCACAACAGCCTGATACAGCTCTGACTGCAGACGCTGCTCCCTCTTCCTCACAGCAGTGATACAGCTCTGACTGCAGACGCTGCTCTCTCTTCCCCACAGCAGCGATACAGCTCTGACTGCAGACGCTGCTCCCTCTTCCTCACAACAGTGATACAGCTCTGACTGCAGACGCTGCTCCCTCTTCCCCACAGCAGTGATACAGCTCTGACTGCAGACGCTGCTCCCTCTTTCCCACAGCAGTGATACAGCTCTGACTGCAGACGCTGCTCCCTCTTCCCCACAGCAGTGATACAGCTCTGACTGCAGACGCTGCTCCCTCTTCCTCACAACAGTGATACAGCTCTGACTGCAGACGCTGCTCCCTCTTCCCCACAGCAGTGATACACACGCTGCACTGATCCATCTGTCAGTCTCACACTCCATCCTCTATCCCCTTTATGTCATTAAACATATTTGTGGGGGATTATTCATCAAAGAGGGCAACCCGTGATGACACACTTACTGCAGGTGGGAAGATAATAATGCTGAAGTTCATTTCTACTAATTTTAGATGACAGACAGCACCATTCCCCTGTGGCTCAGTTCTCCCTGTAGCCGTGAGGAAAAACATGGATTTATAGAAGGACCTCTGGCCTCTCGTGAAGGTGCTAAATGCAGCACAGGGCTTTAAGCTGTAGACAAAAAACTATAAAGGTGCACTGTCTTTATCCCTGTAGGGCAATTCATCCTCTGCATTTGACCCATCCTGAGGCCGCTAAGGCTTACGTCAGGAGCAGTGGTCGCCGTAGTAACAGCGCCCGGGAACCCATCTCCAGACGATGGTGCTCGGCTTCGTCAGGACCAGAGCTGAAGGATTTTATTTTTAGTGTGGATAATTTTAGTTGTATGGGAAACTGGAGCACCTGGAGGAAACCTACGCAGGCACAGGGAAAATATAAGATAGACTTTATTGATCTCACACTGGAGAACATGCAAACTCCACTCAGAAAGACCCTGTTCCGACCAGGATTCGAATTCAGGACATTCTTGCTGAGAAGCGGGGGTGCTAACCACTCAGCCACTGTGCCGCCCGTTTTCACCTTACATGTGTTTTATTTGGTGGAAAAGAGGACCACCTTCACTCATGCAATCAGCTCAAAGTGTGGAACTAGTGACTGTTAAAGGAGCAGTCTGTAAACATGTGGCCAAAAGTGGTACTGCAGCCTCTCCCACTCTCCCTGACTCAGGTTGCCAGATATGCAGACGAATCCAGCTGGGACCATAACAGCTGAATAGACAAGAGTTTTGTCAACAACAAGTCTATAACCAACACCTTTTTCACAAAGATAGAAATCCTGGTTTTATTCCTTGTTTTGTCGTTAATGATTTGAGAATCATAACGAGACCTTTTTTAGTTCTGCGCCACATGGTACTTTACCAGTGAGATTAGCTCCACGCGGTGAGTTCTGGCGCCCGGATCACAGACTTTCTGATTGGTGAAACGGTGGAGGGCGGGACATCGAAATGAAAACAATAACAAGATTTAGAGACTGGAAAAGTAATTTAGAAATTCAAATATCTCTGAACTACTGTTATCAGTAAAAGAAGTATTGGAAAAGAGCATGTTTTATTAATGCCTTTGGACAGATTAGGGCCCTTTAATGATGACTTGACATGAAAATCTTACATATTACTATAAAAAGTCTAACGTCACACTGACTTTACCAACGCAAACAGTCTCTCAAACAGCAGCTCATATAACATCGTTGACCTCAGTATAAGAACGTTGTACTTTCATTGCAGATATAATTGCTCCGAGCTTTAGTCTGGGTCATGCACTCACAGTCAGGCTGCGCACACAACCTTGACCTGCGGGTCTCTGGCCAATCGGAGAGAGCGTGGATCGACATGGCTCTGTGGGAGGCCATGACGCATCGAGCTCGCCTTCATTCTCTCTTCTGCAGACGCACATTTTCCACGCCATACCATGAAAGAGATAAGCTCAAAGAAACCGAAATAGCCGCTCAATAATTAATGTAACAATAATGGCTCATGCGTACAAGTTTATCTAATCCGAGCACAGTGGGGATGTATACATAATAAGAATAGCATGTCCCGCTGTGAGGCTGCCAGCGTGATTGGCCCATTTGGCTGAAGGCTGACGGAGGAGTTTGGCTGGCAGCTATCGAACCGCCGCATCTAAGCCTCTGGGCAGAACACACCCGAGTAATCCAACATCATCAGCACTTTGTCACTGTACAAGTAAAGAGGATATAACAGGGAATTACCAAGGTTTAGCAGATCTGAACTGCAAGATTTGTTTTATTGTTTTACATGTGTTTTAAATGAAAATGATGATGCTTAACTAACCTAATCACAGTAGCTTCAGTAGTCGGTGAGATAGTCCCACACCTAGATCAAGCAGCTGCAGAATTACTTCCATTATTTTGCACTAATTAACATAAACTATTAGCGTAAAAATAACTGGCCTGAAACGGATGAGGAAAGTCGTACCACTTTAATATTTGTTTTTTATCTCACTGCACTGCACCAGCTAAAACTGATGCAAAATGAAACATATACAAATTACAGTTAGTTAAAATGTAGTGAGAATGTGGTGGTTATTAAAGGGGTAAATGAAAACCAAAGTCTCTCCAGTGCTGCTCCTCCTGCACTTGTTTCTGGTGCTTGACTCCCCATTACGCCTCTTCCTCTTCCTCGTCATGGGCTCAGGCCAGGTCCCATCGAGGTCTTACTCATTCTTCAACTTCCCAGAGGAGCTTCCACAGACCTCCTCTGTGCACACAACTATCGGAAGGTTGTGGGTTCGAGCCCATCACGGGACCATTGCCTGAAACACCAAGGCTGTGGCACCACTGATGTAGCAGCCATCTTCCTGTGGACCCACTCCCTGCAGAGGATAATAATAATAATAATACATTTTATTTATAATGCACTTTACATTTGACACCAAATCTCAAAGTGCTACAAACAGCAGCATAAATAAAAGCAAACACATAAAATCAGATAAAAGACTATAAAAAAAAAAAAAAAAATTAGCAGTACGCTTTAGTAAAAAGATGGGTGTTGAGTCCCTTTTTAAAAGCTTCTACCGTCTGTGGGGCCCTGAGGTGGTCCGGGAGGGCGTTCCACAGACGGGGAGCAGTGGCCTCGAAGGCCCTGTCCCCCATTTTCTTGAGCCGTGTCCTGGGCGGGAGCAGACGGTGCTGTTGGCCTGACCGGGTTCTGCCTGAGGAGTGTGGAGTGAGGAGGTCAGTGAGGTGGGGGCATCACCGTGGAGACAGTGGTGGGTGTGCAGGAGGATCTTGTATTCTATACGGAGGTGAACGGGGATCAGCGAGAGAGAGGGCAGCTCTCATTGTCACCGCCCGACCCAGAAATGGACTAATAAAGGGGTTGAAAATGAACGAATAAATAATCATAGCCCCCACTGAAAGATCTCAGCTCCTGTGGACTCAGCACCTGCAGGAGGATCAGTGAGGGGCTGGTGCTCTGTGGACTGGGTGCAGTTCTGACTGCCACCCCCCCGACCCAGAAATGGATTAAGGGGAAGAAAATGGATGGATGGATGAATAATCACATTTCTAATAATAATAATAATGCGTTTCATGCTACATTATTTATAATAAGTCTTCCATGACACATGTGAGCACTGGTAAACACAGTATAGTATCTTTACCAACGCTGCTGGTCCCAGAGGTCTGAGTCCAAGCGTCTAGTCCGGCCTTCGTGACAGGACCTTCCCCATTCTCCTCAGTCCTGTGCTTTCTTTTTGCAGGCATCTCCTCCTCTCTTGGAAATGTGTATAAAACAAAAACAATCAATCATTTTACATTGAAAACACACTCATGTTGCAGCTAAACAGCCCCTAAAACAACATGTAATTGATTTGGAAATAATGTTTATGTAACAACAGGCGTATTCCTGTCCACCAAACCATCTGCCAAGGCCCGTGTGGGGTTCACGATGCCCTTTTCTTACATTTAGTGGATTAAAGTCCATCCTAGTCCGAAGAGTTTCACACACAATCACACATGTGTAGTTTGTTTACGTAGCCGGCTAGCCGCTAATAACATTCTTTGTGATTTTGGCAGAAGCAGAAAAGCAGCAAAACCACAGCACTTGTCGCTGAGGAGAAGTGAAAGAACCAAAAAAAACACACAACCGTCAAACACATAGATGTCAAAGAGTCCAATCTATTTTTAGCTAACTATGCCCGAAATGAGAAATACTAAGAGAGTATATTGTTGAGAAAAAGAGAAACAAAAAACAGGTTCTATGCGCACCGGAGTAACTTGGACGTTTATTCTCAGCTTAGCAGTTCATTCATGCAGAACAAACAGAGACACTGTATATAATGAAATCTGTATCATCTGGAAACCCATGTGTTACTGATCCCAAACAACAGATACACAATTGGAGTCCTGTGACCTACACAAGGCCTTATCACTGGCATATGTTGTGTTTGTCCAATAGGTGAAGCTTGTCATTATAGTTTAAGATTTACTGTACTTTTAAAACATAACTTTTCTCATCACTTTAAAAAGAAAGTAACCTGTTACATGACTTAGTTACTCTCTAAAGAAAGTAACTTCTTTACTTTACTTTTGCATTACCTTTGTGTTACTGTGGTTTTGCCTCTCCTGTTTTTAAACCCCGTGGTCGAGGGGCGCAGGGAGGTTTGTTGCTCCAGGACTGAAGGAGCATGACTCCTTTCTCTGTAGTGACCCTCTCTGTCAAAGTGTGGTGCGATCACAACAATACGCACACACACACACACACACACATACACACACACA